GGCATTGATTACTCGTCATGCAAGGTACATTCAAGTCGATTTTGCCTTTTCGATCTTCTTCACCTTCGCACTGCAAAACTGAAAACTTTTTTTTTTTTCTCACAACTTTTTATCACTGATCAACCCTATACATGTAAATAATGTTTTATAAACAAAAGAAGATGAATGCTCGTAAAAAGAAAAAGAAAAAAAAAATCACTAGTATTCCTCATAAAAGAATTATAGGAAGCTTCTGCAAAGAAACAAGAAATTACTTACCTGAAACAAATAGCAGGAGGACAACAAAGAAACCTAGCTTAACCAAAGACTTGTCCATCATGTTTTGTTGGATTGTGACGATGTCTTCTACTTGGCCTGGACATTAATTTATAGTCGAAGCTAGTTGGTATAATTTGTGACAATTCATTTGAATGCAACTTCACTTTATTGGATACACTCATGATAATAAATTGGATTATAATTAATGATTGTAATTACTAGCTACCTCGCTCTCTCTATTTTTTTTTAGTGTCATTGAGTTTTCTTTTTAAAACAAAAAATGTATTGACTTTTCTTATTTTTCATAAATTAATTTTTACTATAATAAAATTGTTGTAAATATGTAAAATGATAAAATTAAGTAGAAAATAATATAAGGGTATAATTGACAAAATTATTACTAATATAATATTGAATTTTAAAAACACATATATTTTGTTAATATGTTGATTTTTGTATAATATATTGTTATATTTTACTATCGGTTGTTTAACATTTAGCTTTTTCTAGTTTTGAAATGTTATTCCTTGGTACAGGACATGAAACTTTTCATTTTCCAATTATGCATACTGCTTTGTTGGAAAAAAAATCCAATTTCTTTTAATTGAATACCATTTAAGTATATAAAAAAAATTGAATATCTCTCTGTCCATGCATACTCTTAGAAGAAGATCTTTCATAACCTTAAAAAAAAAATCTTAATTAAATATTACTGTGTTGATGCATACTCTTATCAGAAGATTTTTTACAAGTTAGAAATAATCTTAATTTAGTACCATCGGATTTCATTCTCCTCTTTAAATTTTTTTTAATGGTCTTAATTAAATACCATCTTATTTTATTAATTTTTTTTAAAAAAAATCTTAATTAACACTAAACTTTTTTCTAATATTATTATAATTTAAAGTCTTAATTTAATATCATAATTTTTTATATATAAAAAATGCTTTTTTAAAATCTTTAAAGATTCTAAATTGTCAATATAAAAGAAAACATCAAATTTCATTGTCCTCTTTATTTTTTTTTTAATTGCCTTAATTAAATATCATCTTATTTTATTGCTCTTTTTTAAAAAATCCTAATTAGCACTAGACTTTTTTTAAAAAGTATTATTAATTTAATGTCTTAATTTAATATCACAATTTTTATATAAAATGCCTTTTAAAATCTTTCAAAATTCCATATTGGTCGATATAACAAAAGAATAAACAACAAAAAAAATGGGTCAAACCAATGAACGATATGTTTATTCTTATATTCTTTTACTTATTTAATTTTTTATATAATAATAATATAAAACAATTTACAATATATTATTTCCTCCACAAACTCTCTCCAAAACTTTTCTTTATAAATCTTATTATAAAAATAAAATAAAATAATACAGAAATTTAAAACGTTATATAATCAACTTATAAAAAAAATATAATCTATATTAATAAATACTACTTTTTTACATATAAAACCGATATTTAATTATGTTGATGTTTTGCACATATAACACAAATATTTTAAACTTGCATCCTTGATTGTATTTTTCTGAATTCTCGATTCCTTGCATTTGCACGTATAAAACATAATAACTAATAGCTTTAAAATTCAAATAAAAATATTAATGTATATATAAAGTAAAATAAAAATTCAAATATAAACATAATTCCTTACATTTGCAGAACATTATTAAATTTGTTCTGCAATATATTCTTCCCTAAAAAAAAAATTAAAATGAAATTTTTGTTTAAATTTGTTTGTCATTCCAACTGTTAACAATAAAAAAAATAAAATTATTAAATTTGAGAATATCATTAATCATATATATCACATGTCATTAAATTTATTTATTCCCTCAAAAAAATTTCAAAATAAAAATGTTGTTTATCTTTCCAACTTTTAACAATAAAAAATTAAAATTATTAAATTTGAAAATATCATTAAATTTATTTATTCACTCTAAAAATTTTCTAAATAAAACTTTTGTTTAAAATTGTTTGTCTTTCCAACTTTTAACAATAAAAAATTAAAAATATTGAATTGAGAATATCATTAATCGTATGGGTTACATGTGCGTATGCGTGAATGTTTTCTTTTTTTATTACTTGTGATAAGCATGATTTAAACAATTCTATATTAAATTAGAATAAATTAATAAGATGAAAATGTGTATAAAGAAAAAAATAATACAATGCTAATTTCATATTAAATTTCGAACAACCTTATTTCTTTTTAGATATGGATTTTTGCTACAGATCACTTATGTAAAATTGCATAAGAAATAAGTAATTTATTTGAATAGTTGGTATGTACAATATTATAAAACTTATATAAAAGCACTTATTTAGCTAATATGATATTAACCATAATAGTAAAATAAAAAAATATATTATTATGCATAATTTTTTTTAAGATGATTCGTAATTGATTTTGTAGTCGCAAAACTAAAGTTTGACCCTACTTATATTTAATATAGATTGTTTTCAAATCTTTGATTATGCATTGCTTGAGGCATTCTAAAGTTAGTTTGTAATATGCCTATTAAGAATTAATAATGACAATACTTTGTTTCTACTTATAATATCATGTATATGGTATTCTCTCACTAATATGATATCAAATATAATAACAAAATAAAAAATATATATTATTATGCATCAATTTTTAAAGAGGATTGATTATTGATTTTGTAATCACAAAATTAAAATTTATTGTGACACTCTTCTACCCCAATTAAATAAATAATAATATACAAAAATTTATGGAATAAAGTAAAATAAATAATACTTTTTTCCTCGATACTTTGTTAAAAACTTCACATAACTTTATTAATCATCTTCTTAAACGAGGAAAACATAAATTTTTTTTGAAACAAAACTAAACACAACCTCTTAATTTAAATAATAATAAATATAATCCAAATAGAAACTCAACAATGTCACAACTCTTAGCTAAAACTCTACCTCAATATCATACTATTAGAGTAAAATATCTTTTTATGGTTCTCCCTCTTCAAGCACACATTATTGTACCTGCTTTAATCCTACAAATGACGTTTAACTCAAACAAATATATAAATATAAGGAATAAGAATACATCTCATTCATAAACAACATATACAAGACATCAAAGGAGACACACACATTACAATGCCAACTTCATGCCTTTAGTCATCCTCAACATCATTGAAATAACAATTAGTATATTTCCATCTATCATTCATTATCATCCGATCACAATATACAATATAATTACATATTTAAAACTCATATAATGCATAATCCTAATTTTATATGTATATGATATTAATGTCTTCATCATCATCATCATCGAGAATGCTTAATAGCCTAAAAGAATAGAACAAGACCACCCCATTAAATAGAACAAGAGACTATAATTTATCTAATCTTATTTAATTTTGGAAATCTATACCATTATATATACCCTTTTAATAATGATCCTTATTTTGTATGAATCATTTAACTTTTTTAATTTTATTTATAAATTTAAATCACTTTTCTCTTTTAATTTTTTTTTCCTCAATTTTTATTTTTTATTTTTTATTTTATCTTCTTTAAATAACCACTCACATAACTATTTACTATATGATTTATTTATTTAAAAAATAGTTGTGCGGCCAACTTTTGAAATATCTCACGTTATCACATTAACATAACACAAATATTTTAAACTTGCATCCTTGATTGTATTTTTCTGAATTCTCGATTCCTTGCATTTGCACGTATAAAACATAATAACTAATAGCTTTAAAATTCAAATAAAAATATTAATGTATATATAAAGTAAAATAAAAATTCAAATATAAACATAATTCCTTACATTTGCAGAACATTATTAAATTTGTTCTGCAATATATTCTTCCCTAAAAAAAAAATTAAAATGAAATTTTTGTTTAAATTTGTTTGTCATTCCAACTGTTAACAATAAAAAAAATAAAATTATTAAATTTGAGAATATCATTAATCATATATATCACATGTCATTAAATTTATTTATTCCCTCAAAAAAATTTCAAAATAAAAATGTTGTTTATCTTTCCAACTTTTAACAATAAAAAATTAAAATTATTAAATTTGAAAATATCATTAAATTTATTTATTCACTCTAAAAATTTTCTAAATAAAACTTTTGTTTAAAATTGTAATGACTTTTTTTTACAGGAAAAGTGAATTTGACTTAATTTCAGAAATTACCCCTTTTATTTAATGACAGGGCAAGATATTTTAAAAATAAATTAAATATACATAAACTAAACCAGTGTTTTGAAGATTAATCTGTCGATAAATTAAAGAATCAATACATTTTAAACTTTCGAAAGACTATGGTTGTTATTTTTTAAAAGAAAAACCAATGTACCAGGTTTAATATTATTTTTATTTCTCATGCTCATAGAAAATAGGAGATTAAGGAGATACTTACTCCAAAATAAATAGATTTTATTTAAAAAGCACAATGCAGAATTATAAGGTGACATTCTTAATAGAAAATTTAAGCAGTTCATAATGAAACGTATGAGAGAAAAATTACTGAATATCAAAATCAAAATTGGTTTAAAAAAGGTGAAATGACTTGACCTTTTGGAAAATAATGAGTAAATCTGAATGCTATTTAAAATTTAAAAACAAAAAAGCGCAAGCTTAAATGAAGCAGACGCAAACAAGGGTCCTCAAGGAATCCCAGAAGAAAATCATTGACATCAAGATAAGGAGATTAGATACATTATTGGCACGGAAAAAAAGAATGAACTTTCAATCAATTTCATTTCAGGGGAAAAAATGATATATAAAAATCAATCAATAACAATGAAAGAATAGCTCTGATTTTTCAGTCTTCACTCAAGTACTCACTCATGCACCTATCTTCAAACTATAACCAAAACACAATTTAACAAAAAATGAACTTAAGAATTGTATTCTCAGAAAGAGCTCTTGTTGGTCTTGTAACGGTACAGTACCCTCTTCTTTTTGTTTGAATTGTTCTCTATAGTGAGGACAACTTTCCCTGGTTCATTGTTCCTAAAAGTGTTCCTAACAGGCCCTTCTTGTGAACCCATTTTCTTCCCTTTTTGAACAATAATTGTGTAGGAACCCTCATCAGTGGGAACAAATTCCTCCTTGTAACTTACCTCCCAACCCAGAACAGTCAAATCCCAGCACAAAGAGTTTCCAACCTGTTCAGATAAAACATCTAAATTTAGTCCTACACTCTAAAGCACATCAATGAAGATGAATATAGTAATGAGTAATGACTAATGACAAAATTTAGATGCATGTTTTTTATATATTTCTAGTGTGGTTCTATGAACAAAATTAATGTTTCTTGATAATCTGCCTGATAAAAGATTTGTATTAAAGGTTGGCATAAAACTCTAATTGTGGTAGGAGAATAATACCAAAAACATCTAAATTGTTGCATTTAAATGTTGCCCTTAAAGTAATACATAAAAACATTAGTTGGTACCTCCAATGCAGGAATCTCAATGGTTGCAGTTGATCCGGCCTTGAGAATGAGTTCTGAAACAGCACCATCTTGGGAAGAGAACTCAGAATCATTTTCCCTCTTGAAACCACCATAGTTAACTGGGATCTCCTCAATTGGAATATACCTTTTTAATACAATAAAGTTATGACCATCAATGAGATGCTATTGAAATATCCAATGAACAGAAATGGTTAATTTAATGAATGGGATGGGAGAACATACTTGGTCAGGGTTTCAGTGACCTTGTTAGGACGAGCAACCACAAATTTGCTCTTTGTTCTTTGGGTCAAGAAGGGAGATAAAAGAGCATTGAGAGCATAATACCAGAAAGGAACATTGATGAAAATCTACAATGAAACACAAGCACATTTGTCAGATACTTTGATCATCAAAATAACATCACTTTACAATTACATAGCTAGCCAATTTAGTTCAAACAAACAATTCAAAAGGCAAAGAACTTACATTTTTGGCCACCAATTCTGGATAATTATCCTGCAACATTGCAACAGTTTGCTTTGTGGCAATTCTCAGCTCCTTCTTTGAAGGACCAGGGGAGTTCTTAAGGTCATTTATTTGAAGCAAAGAAGAGACACCACCTGGCTTCAAATTCAGCTTCTGAATACCCTTCTCCATCAACTGGCACCTCCATCTCAAGAACTCACTTCGCTTCTCCTCAGTCCCAAAAGCCTTCTGATAAAGCTCCTCACTCTCAAAAGCACCAAAGATGTTATAGGACACAGGGTGCCCCTCATGATCAACTCCACTCATGTAAGCAGCAGAGGCCAAATCAGAGCCAAAATCCTCATCTACAACAGAATCAATCTTTGACTCCTTCCTCCATCTCAAAGTCTTCTTCAACATCTCAAATGCATCATTCACTTTAAACTCCCTAGCCCTCAAAAACTTCAACAGAACCACATCAACACCTTCAGATCCTTCACTTGGCAAAAGGGGCACTCCCCAAAGACACACACCCTTCTTCTCCACTTCCTTCTCTTCACCCTCATTCTCTTCTGAAGCCTCCTTCTTTGGCTCTTCCTTCTCAAAAAGGGTGTTCCCCAATATAGCCTCCTCAAGCTTTGACTTGAGGTCACTCAAAGCCTTCTTCTCAAACTCCTTGAGATCAGAAAGGAAGTTGCTTTCCTCCTTGTAAGAAGAGCTTTTCTCAACCACCTTGGGTTTGGACTCATCCACAGATGATTCCTTTGGTTCCACATTTTCCTCTTTCTGGGGCTCAGCAACAGCAACAGCAACAGCAACAACCTCAGCCGTTTGGGTCTCCTCTTGAGCCATAACCTCAGCAGTCATGGTTATGGTTACAAACTGAAAACAAATACAAACACAAAATGATAACCTGATACAACAACACAAAACAAAACAAACCCAGAAATTTATAGAAAGGATGCATTAAGAAAACATACCTAAGTAGTAACGAAGTAAAGTAGAGAAACTAAAAAGAGGTATACGTTATGTTGTGTTGTGTGTGGTCTATGTTTGGAAGGGTGATATATAATTTGAAAAGTGGTAAAAGGCAATTGGGCCCACCAACGGTCACATAAGTGGATCCAGGAGCCGTTGGGGATTCTTTTTCCCGAGAGTTTTGCTGCTCTGGAAGCCAGCAAATTCAGGCGTGATGCCATCAATTTGGGCCCACCATTACTAGAACTAACAATGCTTCCAGGGACACCACCAATCGCAATTATAAATTTAGACTTTATTTTCTTCTTCAATAAAAAGATTTTTCTACAATTTAATTTATCTGAGTTTATTTCAAATATACAAGAAAATGAGTCTAATGACACATTCTCCGGTTGGTGGACCTTTACATGTGTAAGAAGTTCATATATATGGCTAACCAATTAAAATACATGTAAAATATAATTCTTAAAGTAATTATTTGAAACAATTTATTGTTGATGTTACCATATAAAAAAAACTTTAATTTGACTTATATTCTAATTCAATTATTTCTTAAAGTGTTTCAACAGAAGAGTTTAACAATGTGACAGGAAAGGGGGTTAATTTTTTATTTAATGTATAAATTTTTTTCTAAAGAAAGAATGGGTCAATCTAGTGGTGAGAAATTGTAATAGTTGCATAAAGTATAAAATTTATTCTTATATATATATATATATATATATAAAAATAAATCCTTGTTTAAAATTTAAAAATGAATGAAATGTGTAATCATGATTATCATGTAACGTTTCAATATTTTATTTATTTATTTTTATAAACTTTTATAATTCAATTAATTGAGAATTAAAAAAGTAACACGTTTTAACTTTTTCTTTCTTTTTTACCATTTAAACATACTCAGTTCCTTCTTTAAGGATGATTAATTATATAACGTGAAACACACTTTTTTTTTTGTTCGTTCTTGGAGTATCCACCGCTGATAGCGGTGACTAATCTCCTCGCTACGTTGGAGGCACCTCAAAGGGTGAGATAGCTGACCCCAAGATTTAACGCAGCTGCATACACAAGACAGGATTCGAACCCCTGACCTTGCTTAAGGGTGGATCAACCCTTACCGCTGAACCACACGCTTGGGGTTGGATTAGTTTTTAATTTATGATAAATTTCCAATTTTAAAACAAATTTTTTTTTTACGTTAAGACTCTTTCAAATTAAAAATATTGAACATTATGAGACCTATCAATACGTACAAAATAGTTAAAGAAGGAATTTCTAAAATAAGGTGTAAAAGTTATTTTAAATTATTCTCTAACTAGTGCTAGTGTTTTTTACAATCTATTCAAATTGACTGGCCGCAATCAAAAGAACCAATCCTTGACTTCATGGGTGATTTACAAGAGATATAAAATGCTTTCATTCCCTGTGATAACACACAAATACAAGTAATAATATGTTTGTGTCTACACAAGAGATATAAATGCATTGGTGCTTCATTGTTGCTTAAATTTGTAGTTGGTTAATACTTTATTTATTTTTAAGATTTAATTTAGTTTTATTATTTTTAAAAGGTTTGATTTACTTTTTTAATTTTTAAAATATGTTTAATATTTTCTTTCTATTCAAATTGATATTAATGATGTTAATGAAATAAAATGAAAGGAAAATGTTGCAAATTTTTTTAAAAATAAATAGTTAAATTGAACATTTTAAAAATAGTGGGACCAAATTGAATAAATATTTATCTAACATACTTTAGTCTAGCTAAATTTAAATTTTTTTTACTTACCTTAATAACATAATGAATGACAACAAATTCAGTAAATATTTGAAATTAAAAAAATAATCACAAAATAAAGGAGTTATTTAATAAAATAAATTAATAAATATATAAAAAAATTAATTAAAAATAAATTAATTTGATCATTTAATTTTTAAATGATAGTTAATATTGTCCCTTTGTTTGATTTTATTAATATTATTAGTGTCAATTTAGATGGAAGAATAAAATTGAACACTTTCAAAAGAAGTAGAAAATTAAATTAAATTATTTAAAAATAGTAGAACAAAATTAAATCTTAAAGATAAATATACAAACCAAAAATATAATTTATTCTTTATAAGATATGAGAGTTTGTTGTCCAGCTTGAAGCCTTGAACTGAAAATTGAAGTGTGGGGTGTACTTTCATGACTAAATTTAACGTGGAGTCATAGGTTCGGAAAAGGACGGTTGAAGTTGATTTCCTAATGTTTCAGAAATTGTTACATTGATGCTACCCTTTTAGCCTGTTAAATTTTGCCATCGAAACCGCTCCATAAAAGACTTATGTATCTCTAAATTTAAAAATTATAAAGATATAAAAATAATTGGATTTTAAAATCTTTTTTTCTTCTCAATAAGCCAAACAAATATATATATATATATATATATATATATATATATATATATATTCTCTCCTCTATAAAAATATCTCTCCTCTT